AATCAGATTAGTTTAGGGTCTATAAGAAGCAAGAAATTTATGTTAATTAGGCCAAGTCTGATGAGGTTATGCTGGCAGTAAGTGATTTTTTTTCGCAGCACTTGTGCAACACGTTCCGAAAGGTATTAAGATATCAAACTTCGGATAGTCTCCTTCCCTGCCAATATAAAAAATATATTAGTGATAACATTTCCCCTCAGTTATGGGTTGAAAGAAGCTGATTTTTCCCCATGCTGCATTTTCAGTCTTCCTGCACAAGAAAGATTAAGTTATTTAATACGGATATGCTCCTCCAAAAATACCCGTCTGCTGGAAACCGTCTCCTCCACAACAGAATTCCCTACTGGGTCACAGCTTTAGAAAAATCTTTTTTTCGAGAAGTACAAAATAATTAAGATGTGCCGAGTATTTCAGATACTCTCACCTGTCATAAAAACGAGAAGATACTGCAATTAGAGGCATCTAATTCCTGCCCATAAATACAGGACCTGTTCCTATTAAACACTTCATTTTTGGACATAATGACCGAGCTTGCTAAAAGGTTCCATCTACTATCACCTACCTACTCTAACCTCCCTAGAAAATGCATTAAAGGAAATTCATTAAACAAATACAGTCCTTGGTTTCACTCTCATATATTGGCACAAAATATAGAAAAGAAGCTGGCTGATAAAGATGCAGTCTGATAATTAGCTCTCATGATTTATCTCCTCAGCGGATAATGACTGAAGCTGACTAAAGGACAACAAATTTGCCATTTTGCAGCAACTCTCTAGGTTTCAGAAAATTCTATAAAATTGCTCTACACTGAAATGAAAACAAAAAGCTCATCTCTGCGTTTGTGTGTGAGAGAGGAAATATTCTAGACAAAATTCAAGGAATGGCCTTATTGTTTGAATTATGATGAAAAAAAAAGAGAAGAACTGGTGGAAGTGAGAAAGGTACAAGTGCCAACTGGTGCAACTTGGATCACCTGAGAATTCATCGGGCATAGAAAATCAGTGCAATACTTCAGAGAAAGAACAGAGTTGTAGCAGTACAAGAAATAAACCAAAAAGTGCAATAAAACAAAAAATTCCCAACTGATCATATACTTCCTTGTTATTTGTAATCCCAAAGACATTTCTCCACGCACCTGCCAGGTGTGCAAGTTATACTCATTTTGTTTGTTGAAATCTGGTACAGCTTACACTTACAGCATCTGTTTTGTGATTCAATGATACTTAAATTGCAACAGAATTTGCAGAATTCACTTATGTCTTTTCATCTTTAAGGGTCCACCTCCACGAGGAGAGCAAAATTCAGCCTCGCAATCTGAAAATAATTTTCCTAAAGCTCTGTACTAGAAATCTCTGCTCAAGTTCTACAATTTTGAAATAGCTTTTAGTAAAAATCTTAGCTCTTAAAGTGAGGTGTAAAACACTTCACTGGAGATTTTGAGAGAAATCCAGGAAGTTTATGGACTTTTGACTATGAGAAAAAAATTTGTGTACCAGCACTGAATTAGCTTTAAGTGATGTGAACCTTACTTTTGTTGCATCTTATTACTTATTAGCTCACAATAGCACACGGGCAAGCTAGCAGGCCTTTCAGCCATAGAAAAATGGACTAAGTTTCTTGTAAGTTGATTTAACACTTGCTGCTCTATCTCCTTGCCAGCCAATCTTTATGTTAGCAAGCTATTCCATGAAAGCGTTTTTCATGACGATTGAGCATCTCAAATTCTCAAATCTCGTCCATATTAAAGCAACGCACCACTTGAATCATATTGATTTAAAAATCAATCTCATTTAACTGGGGTGCACCCATAATGTAGGTTCCCTTCAGTCAGGTTAGGCCTTCCATACATCTAGTTAGCTTAGTCTTGTAAATTCTTATAAACAAAGGTTTCATCTAACTGATGTTATTAAGCTACATCAATAAAAGCACCTTTAAACTGATGTTAACATGTAATTACAAGGTTGCACCAATTTAACTACAATTGATTTATTCCTGATTGTGTTACACTGGCACGACCTTTAGACTAGGGAAGCCTCAGGATATCAGTTAATCATAATACCATTCCACTGTGCACCTAGCTTCCCTTTTTTAATGTTATGAACTGTACTTTATGCAAATCCCAGATAACAATATCAGACAAGTAATTTTAAGTATAAACTATGGAAACAGTGAAACCTTTTCCCTTTCGTTCAGATTACAAAATACAGCCAGCTGTTTCTGATTAGAAAAGCTGTTCCATGCAGCCACTTACTCATTTATTCATGCTGCAGTTAATTACCAGCTGTTCTTACCTGTAATGAGTGTAAGGAATAAGGTTGGGTATCTCCAGCATCTGAGCATCAGGCTCATTCTCCACCTCACGAAGATTCACCCACTCTTCTTCATCACCCAGAACACCAACCTGTACATGGGAAAGACAAGAACAAATTCAAACCCAACAATACAGTATCCACATTTGCAATGTTTGTCATCTGTGCAGTCAACGCGCCAACACTTTTAAGCACATAATATATAGTTAATATTTATTTTTATATGAAAAAGTACTACTTACTGGTAAAATGGCTGCATAGCCAAGTGTCCTTTCATCTGTTCAATGTAGAATACTAGTTACGCATAGACACTAACTATCAAGGTACTTGATAGGCAACATAGCCCTAAGTATCCAAATAGAAAAACTGGTTTCATTCACTCTTTTTTTTTTTCTTTCCCCTACAGGAGAAGCAGCCTGATTTATTTACAGATGTTTTAGTACTTTGCTCACCCAGGAGTTGCCGTGCTGCATATTTATATTTTTGCATGAAGAAACGACACGAGGAAAATTAGGCCAAAGAAACAAGTTGTGCCTCGCATTCAGAGAGGGAGCTGCTGTGATCTCTCTAGCAGAGGACAGCTTCCATGGAGGGATATGCTTGCAAAGGTCTTTCAGTCTGATGGGTATCAGGGACACTGCCACACACCAAAGAGCTTATAAAATACATGGCACTGTAGATTACGGGCCTTTCAAAATTCCCAACCCCAACTGTGCTATAGAGATTTTAGTAAAGTTCATGGATACAGAAGCTTAATTAATCAGCAACTCACACAGGTGTGCAAGGTAAAACAGAACAGCCCTAAACTGAACCGCAGAACAAAGAGATGATAAAGAGAATTTTTTGAAAGAACTACATGAACAAAGAAAGGAGGAGTGGATTGATTTTCAGTCAGAGAGAGACAGAACACTTTTTGATTAAAAGAGTTTCTGATTAATTTTGTAGAAAGACTTTAGTAAATGGTTATTTTTGTAAAACTCCTCACTCCTAACAGCGTCACCTCAAAGTGCTGCAGTAATTGTATAGCAACAATCCATAGCGTTTCTGAGGCTGCAAATAATTTCCAGCAGTGAGTTAGAGCCCTCTTTTTACATTCTAAGAACAATAAGAGCTTTTAAAAATATTTCCTGCAAAAAGGACCACAGGTTTCAATGGATATGCAGCAGCAGGCAGGTCATTAATACACATTAAAGACCACGTGGTTCAGACCCAGAGGCCCACAGGGCTATGAACAATTGCCATTGCCTCAAGCTTGAGAGGTGTCCAAAACCTCCACCTGTTTTGCAGCTATATATTTACCAGCTGGCTGAGAAGGTAGAAATACTGAGAACCGTTTACTGATTCTCAGTTTACTGATTGAGAAGCAGCAAAAGCTTCTCTGCGCCCAAGATTACGGCAAGCCCCTAAAAAGCTATGCCAGGAGACAGATTTCTATTTTTCATCCTCTCTGCTAGGGATGATCGGTACAGCCCAAGAGGAAACGGCAGACCCCAACCAAGCCGGGCATGTTGGTCATTGCCACACTCAGGAGCCAGCTGGTGGCAGGCAGCCACAACCTGCATTGGGAGCTGGGGGCCCTGGGCCGAGCCGCAGTGCAGACAGTCACAATTTACATCTTTAAGATCCATTTGCTGCCATGCTGCCAATGATGGGGAACAAACACAGGTCACAGATCTGTAATTCAGCAAAACTTTTTATGAAAAATAGACTAGAAATTTGCTAGACTCTCAACTGGCTAATGCTTTGTAACACTTCCAGAATTTGCTGCCAGTGCTTGGGCAACTCTAACTTAATGGATTTCATCTTACTTCTACTGAAATCAGTAGCATAACTTCAGCGTGCATTTCTGTGAGGAGGATTTTCTGAAGACAGAGGACTGGAGTTGTTCCAGGGAGGTTAGGTGAAGAGCCAGGGGCCTTCTGCAGGGCTTCTGGCTCATGGAGTCAAGGAATTAGGTCACTGCTAATCAAAGGAGGATCCACTTATTTAGCGAAATGGAGCTTGGAAGGGACCTTTCAATGATGGACCTCCATATTTTTACTTCTGGAAGATCTATATTAGATTCTAAGTTTCCAGCTCTTGAAGGAAGAGGAAATTATTTTTGCTGAAGCACTCTGATGTCAGACCAGAGGAAACCTATCAGCTGCAAAAATCAGAGTACAAAAGAATCCCCAGGAGGCAAAAAGAACTATGGGCTGTGGCAAGGATGAAAGGATCCTTTGTGGGACCAGAAAGTCCACTATGAACAGCTCTGCACAGAATAATGTTAATTTTGAGGCTTATTTCTTATTGCTATTTTTTGAATAACAGCGTAAGCAAACTTTAGAGAAAGATTATGTTTGTAACAGATGTACATGTATCCACGTGTGCATTGTTTTAGCAGAACACCAACTGCTTTTCTGTTACAATTGGCATAAAAAAACTCCTTAAGAAATGCACTCTGCATCTTAACAGTATAACAGGGCCACAGCATCCCAAGAGGCTGGGGGGACAGCCACAATAAAAGTACCTGTGTTCACCAAGTCACTGCATTTGATTCTCCCCGGTGATCAGCCATCACAAGCTCATTCCCTGCTCTAGGCTGATTCCTGGTGAAGTTCTCTACAAACTCACACTGTTCCTAAAGTGCTCAATAAAAGGGTATAACCATTTCTTATTACAGAAATGAGATCGTACAAAACAATATTGGAAGTGATATCAGAATCCTTTACCTCTCTATGCCTTAGTTTCTCCATTTATAAAACAGAAAATGATGAATAATTTGTAAAGGGATTTAACATCTACTGACAGACTGCACTACATAAGCAAAGTTTCAAAATGTTGACTTTAAAAACATTTCAACCATTTTTTGCAATGAAAAATCATTTTCTTGTTATTTCTTGTATAAGACAGTAAAGTACTGCTTCCAAATTTAAAAATAGTTACAAAGTACTAACTGCAGTAAAGGAAAACACAATGTTTCTGTACATTATAGAGGTACCCTGTGTTCCAGAGTTGAAGACATGTCAGAGTTTTCATTATAGAGGTCTATAACTCAGGGATTCGAAATTGCTTTGGGATGAAATTTGGTACACAGGATGTCACCCTGGATACATTTTTTTTTTCCTTACAAGAAAGTACTTGAATCGATTCAGCAATTTGTGATTTAAAGATTAGCAAAAACATAAAACTGTCAGAGCTTCAAACACTTTATTTACCAGCTCTGAAGTGAAAATGACACCAAGAGAATCACCTCGTACAATGGATGAATTCTAACAGGGCCACTGTCTTAGCTCACAAAACCAGATATATTCATGGTTAAAGTTACAAAGTCACAATGCCTTCCTCAACTCAGCTTTACAAATAAATACAGTGATAATACTTCAAAGTTTTTACTACTTTGAAATTCCCTTTTCCAATTCGCTAGTGCTCACCATAATATTCACAAGAATTTTCTCTCAAAATAGCAGAATTTTTAAAAGCAAAACCTGGACATATTAGCCCATAGAGTACCCCTGGCTCCACGACTTGCAGCCCCTCCTCAAAAGCGGCCTGCCGCCTCTCCACAGGTCTTCTGCTGTCTGCACAATAACATTAATCACCAGAAAAATCACACTCAGTAGAAGTTAGCCCAGCTTCACTGAGCAACCACTAGAATGCTTGATGTGGTGGGCGAAATATCTACCAAGGCACAGTAATGATTATGTCATTTACCTATTACTCCTGACAAAACCCCAGGAATAATTGAGCAAGAGAAAAAACAAGCTGAAACTGGATTGCAGCACAGAGGAAGTGCAAACATGAAACCACTTGAACAGCAGCTGGGTTGCAAATTGCCAGAAAAATGTCTACAACATACAGAGTATATACTAACTGAATTTGAGAGTTCAGGATGACCTGTGGTAACAGGAAGGGCGTACTGAAACTCTTTGGGGATGAACATGTTACCTGGGAGTGCCAAGACTACAAGGCATTTATTGCTGGACATTCTGAACAAGTGTCAGCAAAACCTTCATATTACATCAGACTCTCTTCCCTTTAGATTATACTGAATTTAATGGAAAAGCATTTTTAGATCTATTTTTCAAATGGCACTGCTACTTTTTTGTAGTTCTCTGGGAATCCACTTTGCTCCAATCCTCTGCGTAGAGATGTAAAGATGGAAAAGAAACAGGCTAACAATTTTTAGGAAATGTCTTCAGAAGAATGTAGCTTTAGCAGAAACACAGGGATGGGATTGTAACACCTGATATTTCAGTATCTACCAGGACTAAAATCTTAAAAGACCTGATTCTCTCTCATCTTCACTGACATAAATCAGAATTAGTTCCACAGTGGCTCCAGCAAATTTGCACCACAACAGAAAAAGCAGAAGCCAAGGCCAGATGTACAAAATTTCATGTAAACTGGAATTCCCAGCTGTGTTTTTCATCCAAATTGCTCACGAAGTATCAGACTTCAAAAATGGCACTTAGCCAAAATGGAATACTTGTTACATTTTCTAGACCTGCCCTTATTAACAAAGCCTTGTACCACATAAAGGAACACAGAAGAAAAAAGAGTTGGTGGCAGGTTGGTTGTGTGTGTGAATATAAAACAGCCGAAGTTTGTAAGACTCAGAGATTCACAGGGAACTCTATAATACCACTCATCTTAAAATCAGAGTACGCAAAAACACATATCAAATTTTTTTTAATTTAATTTTAAGGCATGAAACACAGATAAAGTGCTATTAAAAGCTGCACATGGGTCAATGAATGAAGGTTCCAGCAAGAAAAATCCTTACATTTCTGATTAGAAAATACTGTTGTAACCACTGCCCTTCAGCTTACGTAGTTCTAAGGAACAATTATGCTTATTTCTGCTAAAATACAGTGGTTACAACAGTAGCCTGCATCCCAGCATAAGCACATCACTGCCTAGAACAAAGTTCATGAAAAGTGTAAGTGAACAGAGGGGTTTCACTGGTTAACTGTTTCGTGAAAGCTTGCGTGTCTGAAAGATAGGCAGAAAGACCCATGAAGTCAAGAGGGCAGGTCCATGGCATGTAGATCCAAGTCAGGACACAGCACTCCTGCCCTCATCTCTGCTCCCACTGCCATGCTCTCGTCCCCTCCCTGGCACCGATACTCTTCAGACGACACGTATAGCCTGTTCAGAGAGCTGATCTGCCTGAAACTCACCTACACAAAATTCACTTGTTCCTGGCTGGATCAAGTGCTGGAGCAGCTCAGGGCATGATGATCGCACCAGGATCAGGGCAGACAGAAAGCAGGAGTAAGGAAGTGTTGCAGTGAGTGACGGGGGAGAGGACAAGCAATGGGAGCAGGACAACAGGAGCTCTGGTCTAGATTGGCTAAAGGTGCTGTGAAATCACACTTTAAGAGAGAAAAAGTGTGAGTGGAGTGCTGCCAGAAAGGGGCTATGAACAAGCATTATAAGCAGCTGTCATTCTGGAAACAGGATTTGCTATACCCTTAAGGAACCCCATTTCCTTGCATAACTGCAAAGATTTTTGTTAACCAGGTGAGCAAGACATTAAAAAAAATTTTTTTTAACTTTTTTTTTTTTTTATTAAACCCATTTGGACCAATATTTCCTGTTGTGCCAAAGCTAACTGACAAGGTATGGTCTAGAAGTTTTCAGAGGAAGCTGTGGTGAAAAAAACTCCTGCTCAGACTGAGCATGACTCTGCACAGACTCTGGAGCAGGAGCTGTGCTCCTGCCTCAAATGGAGCACATATTGGATCCATGATCTAACAGAACCACTAATCCCTTGACTTTGCTAGCAATGCATAAAATCCTGATGAGTGTCTATGGATGGCAGATATCCTTCCTTCCCTCCCTGCACATCGAGAACCCTTCAACCCCTATTTGTTCCCGGGGTGCTTAACGGATGCAGGTGAACTTCCTGGTAGTTATTGCCACAGTGTTAAAACATTCAAATTCGTTTCATTTCAATGGTGTTCCATAACTGATGCAGTTACAGAATTAACACAATATTAGCATGGTGCTCCAGGACAAAAATGCTTCTCAGAACGTGCCAAGCCCATCAAATTACGGCACTTCAGTGTTTAATTCTGTAATACGCAATAATGTGTACATAAATGGCACAAAATGTACCAACCTGTTCACAACAATCTCATTACCAAGTGAAGTGATTGTATCAACACATCTAAGTGGTGAGGGTGATTTAAGAAGTCCAACATTTGGTCTTAAAACCAGATTATATTATTTATAAAGATCTGTGGGTGGAAAGGAAGAAGCACACCTCCTCTGTCAGGAAAACAAATGAGGAATGTATAATTCCTTCAAGGCATAACGTCAGCAACTCAGAGGGACATTGTTTAAACCTGATGAAGAAAAGAATTCCTCCTATTCATATCTAGAGGCCTGGATAGAAAACCTTAGTATATTCCATTACATAAATATACTCAAATATACTCAATCTCATGAACAATAGGATCTTTACCGTCCCTTGTGATCCCTCCTGTACTTCTGTTCTGTGACGTAGGAGGTAATAACTCCAGGTTTGCATGCAGTTTGAAAATGCACATAACAGAACCTAAGCCTAGGTTTCAAATCGTTATTTTAAAAACTGGACTCAAGCTCTGGTGAATGGGCTGCTTAAGAAGCATCTGATGTTCTTCTGAACTGTAAAGCAAAGCTGCTTTACAAAAATCCACGTGAATTATTTAAAGGCTAAGCATTTCCCACATATATGTATTATATGTATTTTTCCTTTGTCCTGTGAAAAGAAGTTATAATATTCATATCACCCTTTCTCTCACAGGCTGTAGCACAGACATTTCTCACCTAAGCTTCTCAAACTCCCTTGCGTTTCAGCCTTTCCAGGACCCTGTGAACAGTTGGCCCAGGCCATTTGCTGAACAGCTTTGATCCAAAGCTGACGAAAAACCGTGATCCAAACAGCAATTGCCTATCTAGATCCATTTTAACTGATTAGAAACTTCACTAGCAGCTTTTCACCAAGGACATACCTGGCCTTCAACTATCCACTTGGAGATGGAGGTTTTGCCATCATACCCTGGCCGGAACTGAAGAGTGGCAGAGCGAGGACTGATGTTGGAAATCACCAGGTTGGATGGAGCACCTGGAAGTTCTGAAGAAACAGGAGCATAAATGAGAGGCAGAAAGGCTTTTGATTTAAAACCCAATAATATGGGTTGATATTCAGTGTTGCAGTATATAAGGTACCTTCCTAACAATCATAATAGGGGAAATACCTGGGGTTTTTTCATCTTTGCAGAGTACTAAATACAGTAGTCCTATTTCACCTGCATTGAGCGTACACAAAATTTTAAAGACCAAAAGCAAAAAGAGAGCACCCACTACAGAATTACAGCTACTGTTTCAGAAAAGGTGCATAACAGAGACAAGGCATGGTGGCTCAAGCGGGAAAGGTACTTCCCAGCTCCAGATCTGCTAAGTCAGTTGTCAAGCCACCCAATTCCTCTCTGCTTCTGTTTCTTTACAATTAAATGACAATAACATTTTCCTACTTCTTCAGGTATATAGAGCCTTAATATAGTAATAACAGTACAAGACTGAAATTTCCAGGGAGTGTAAGGGGAAGATTTTTTGATTCTTATATTGACCTATAATCATTCGGGTTTTAGAGGGAGACGCTGATCAGCTTCTGACACCTGAGTAAAGCAGATGAATTTTGTTAAATACTTGTTGTAAATACTGAGGGTGACCTTCTGTGAGGAAAAATCTGGAGCCTAGATCAGATCTTTGCCTAACATCAGTCAAGCTTAGAGTGGAGTTTACGTTTTTAATATTATCTAAATTATCAACAAAAGCAAGTCCAGGAAAGGGACCAAATACAAATAAATTCCCACTAGTACCTGCATTGATGAGTGAGGAAAATTAGTATCATATAAACAGTAACCATTCCTAATGTTTTAACTGTGTGAAAATGCAACGGGCAAAGAATGGACGGCTTTTTGGCATAAATCTTGAATATGCAGAAATACACAATATTTCTTAATTCTTGTTTCACATTTCTGGGAAATAATCCTGCCCAAATAGGATAATGCTGTTATCTGGCTAACAACAGAGAACATGGCACTGACTGGTCTAAAAGTTGTCACAGTCACCTAAATTAACGGAAAGAAAGGCAAGTATGCTTCAGGATATATGGAAAAGTTCAAAAATACTGGAAGAGACCTGACATATCTAGGAAAATCTTGATTACCTCACCGTCAATGATGTATACTAACTGCTCCACTTCGGAAAATTCTACTTACACAAACTAGAAGTTAACTCAGACTGCTTTTTTGAGGTCTGAATTGGCTTTTTAGGTTGCTTTCTGTACTGGATGAGGGAGAGTGCAGAATTTTAAAAACCAAAAGCAAAATGCTAAATCTAACAAGTCCCCAAATGGTAAACTCAGGCACTGCAGTATTGAATTACCTCATCCTAAATCTTTCTCAGCTCGCCACACTGATTCTTGTAAATAAGATTTTAGTTTCATTATACAAATGTCTTCTCATAGGTAACATAAGTTCTCATGTCTAATCTCTACTTATAAATAGAAAAAAAACCCCTTCTTTCCTTTTAAGAGCATCCAAACTCTGTTTTCCCTCCAAAGCTATGTTTTTTAAATTGATTCAGGCTTCCTTCTTATGTTATTTTCTAAACATCAACAGATTCTGTACTGTATCCACTTCAGCAACTTATTTGTTCCTTCTGTCATCCCTACAAAATTTTTTTCATGTGTATCAAACAACCTCAACTTTTTGGCAATTTCAGAGAGTGTTTCATGGTAATTTTTTTAATGTCTTTTAAGAATTAAATGGAAGTTATGTTGTGCAGAATTTCAATGCTTTATAAATGAAAACATTTTTATTATTACTGAACCAAAGTAATTCATAACCTTCAGGAATACAGAAGCAAACAGAGTCACATTTTAATTTGTTCTGGGCAGTTTAACCAACCTGGGGGCACACCAGAGGAGATGGTGGAGGAAGTGACCCATCCGCTCCCTTTTGCAGTCACAGCTGCCACCTCAATTGTGTAGGTGGTGAGAGATGAAAGCCCCGTAATTTTGTACTCGAGAGTCATGTTGGTTAACATGCGGGCAAGACGAGTTTCATTCCTGCCATACACCTCCCAGGAGATCTGGTAGCCTGAAAAACAATTACGAGGGAGTCAGGGGGCTGTAACAGTGGTTAGGTCTAGTTTTTCTTCAAAAATGCAGTTATGCAATAGCCCAGACACTAGATAAATTGCTGCTTCTGCAAGATTTGTTCGTGGTCAATGGTTATGAATTTTTTCTTACTCTACTCCATTACGGAAACCTTTCAGAAAAAAAAGTTTATGTTAGTATTGGCTAAAATACCCAAGTACTTTTCTAATACTACTAATTTCTAATAAGCAGTTGATATAGGTACCCACGGGATATCATCTGCTCATCACATTACAGATGGGAGAGGACACAGAGTCTCAACAGTCTGTCTCTTTCTTCTGATAAAAACACAGTGTACAATATGAAACGGTTAGAAATCCTGGGAATAATCTCTCTCAGAAGGATGGGCTTTCATTTTGTGAACTCTATAAAGTGAATAGGAAAAAACACTGGGAAATATAACATCTTCTCACTAGCTGGAATATGCAATTAAAGACCAATCTACACTTAGTACAGCTACTCCTTTTCGAGGGTGAAGCAGCCTTCACCGCTGCATGTTTAGAAATACTTACAAATCAGACAATAATGATCATGTAGGAACATTGCAGGAATCTTCTAGGAACTGAAAAATCTCTACTCCCCATTGCTTGTTCCTCGTACAAACCCTTTTGCAGGGTGAATCATTATCTTTTCTTTCAAAACCATCGTGCAGCCTATCTATTGTCCAAAACTGCACTCACCCTGACCTCCATATTATTCTTATATCGTGACCAACTTCTCATACCTTTCCCTTTTTATAACTTTTATAACCATTTGCCTTCCAAGAACTTTTGAAACTTTATACAGTCTGATTTCCTCAATTTTGCCTCCAAATCTGCTTGTTCTCCTCCTGCCTGTTCCTACTTTATTCTCTTTTGAACCCATCTGAACCTTGCTGTGTCATTCTCCAGAGAGCTTGTCTGAAAAGTTTGCTTGATTGCAGCTTTCTTTGTGATTTGGCTCCAGGGAAAAAAATACACATAGCTCTTGAATGCCTACGAAATGGAAGCGTGTGAAAAAGACTAACAGAAAGAAACCCCATGGAGCAAACTGCACATGAAGCAAGCTGGATAGTGGAACTCCCTACTGGGTTCCTTTTCCCATCATCTAAGATGAGGAATTCAGACCAGTTGGAGTTTTTTGGTTTTTCTCTTTCTTGTTTTGTTTTTTAACCATGATAAACTGATTAACACATATAAATTGAAACAGCAAAATAACTTACGGTATTGATCAACAGGGAAACTTCATCTAAGGAACTGAAAGCATGGTCAGATAAACATTGCGACACAGTTTGAACGGTGTGAGACCTTATCCTCCCTCTGGTGTCAGCAGCCATCACTGACAGGGATTCACACTAACCCGCCTTTGCAGGAAAATGTGCTTGGAGTACTCACAGAGTTCCTAATCGTGTTTCAGGTGACTGGGCAGTGATAAACAGCTGAGGGGTGATACTTTCTTAAACCATTTCAACTACACTGCAACCACTCGTTTGACTGCACACTCCCAAGGGAAATGGGAAACAGAAACTCCTGGATGCTAATCTGGAATCAGTTTTAAGCAGGTGTTTGAAATGTCCCATCTGTAAAATGGGAATGAGTTAAATCAGTAATTTCCCAGTGCTTCAGAGACGCTATGGCATTCCAGTGCTGTCTGTGAAGGCTTGAGAATCATTTACTGGAGATGGCCATTTAGGTAGGACAGACAAGATTACAACCTGACAGAAGATCATCAGAAAACTTAAGGACTCTGTTGACTTTACTACTGGAGGGTGAACAGAAAGCTAGAGGAAGACTCTCCATTCTGTTAGATGCTCAGTGAAGAGGCATGAAGGAGCTATAAACGGAACGACCATCGCAAAAACCCATTTCTTTCAAGAGCTGAGGCAGCGATGCTTGTTGCAGACAGGGCAATGCGGAAAACAGAAGGGGTCCAAGGAAGCTGCAGCCGCGTGTGGCCCCACTTCCTAAACCATGGCACAGCAGCATGTCCGTGCATGGTCCCGCACGGAGCAGAAGCTGGGCAAGGGCCATGCAGTGGTTCATCTGTCTGCCCAGGAGCCATGGACAACCCTGCTATGCCCACTTCAAACCCTGCATGTAGGCTGGGAGAGGAATCAGGGAATTTCAACTCAGAATAAAACAAAATAAGTTGTTAAAAAAAAAGAGTTAGCAGATAAGCAGGGGATTTTAATGCTCTCCCTGGCTATGTGTGGCTTTCAAACAATAGACAGTTTTATGTATCTTGCACTGGGTGGTCTTGATTGAGAGAACTTCTCTCCCATCTAGATAAGCTTTGTGTATACATCAAATTTTGGTGATTATTCTCTGAACATTTTACATTTTCTCTGTTGTGACCACAGGGATGAGACCCAGCTTTCTTGCCCATTATGCACAGAGTCTCTAGGCAAGTATTTACAGAAGAAAATTTCACCAGGAAAAATAGCCCCAGCCTCCATGTAAATTGAGGAAAAGGCAAAGAGGCAGCATTGACTGTGGCTATTTCAGTCCCAAAAGCACAGCTGAATTCCAGTCACATAAAAATGCAAACAGCAAATACATACATATATACCAAACAGACACAAAGCAAAATGAAATCATGCATAACAAAAACAGATGAAAAAGTGCTGAAGGAAAGGAACATCATCAGCAGTACCCCCAAGCAGTACTTAAGCCACAACGACTGGCAGATGGGCAGAACTCTAGGACATGCGGTTGTTAAAAATGTGCTGTTTTACAGGCATGATCTCTGCCAGAAATGTGCATGGGGAAGTCCAGCAGGCCTGGGTAGAGCATGTTTCCTCTGGCTTTGGTAGGAGTGAGAACAGGAAAGGTGCCACAGAGCCTTCCCCTACACTTTGGCACTACACCTGCTCCATAAAACACTGCTAACAGAAACTAATGACCAGAGGAGCTTCAGAAATAATTTTCTGTTGATCTGGAGTAAATTCTCTACAAGAGAGCAGTACACCCAATCACAAACTGTCCGTCTACATCCAGGTACCCATAAATCAGAGTTTACAGAGAGAAAGAGGAAGATGCTAAAATTCACAGCGAGAGTAATGGGCAGTTTACCGCAGCAGGCTGGCTGCCTGCACCACCCCGTTTCCCTCCTCTTAATTCTGGGGCATGGAACAAGAAGTTACAGTAAAGATATCAACGAGAAGAAGTGACGAAGAAACGCCTTCCTAAGTGCTCAGATCTCCTTGTATAAACCTCTGAGCTCCTCAGCGGCATGAACAATTTTGCTCTTGTTTTCTTCTAGCCCAAATGCAGTGTGCGCCAGTAAGGAAAAACTCCCCTCCATAAATCTCACTGGGCATTTTTACACCTCTATTTCTTCAGGAGACATAGTGCTCCTGTTCTTTCTTTTTAAGACAATTTGCCCCGAGTACAACCCAGCCCATCGTCTGGGTTCCAGCCCAGCCAGGTAGGAGGCAGCTTGTTTCTAGCAGAGCAATTCTGCGACACTAAACATATCATTAGCAGCCTTGCAGAGGCCAGACTGCTAATCGCCATGTTAATCAGGGGCTTCTGTCAAAGCAACATGAAGCATTCAGTATCTTATATACAATCTTACGTTTGTATAGCCTCTTTTACACCTAGGGAACCTGGAATGCTTTACACAGGGGTTAGGATAATTAATGGTTGGCGTTAAAACAGCGGAGGCAAGAGAAAGGTCATGGGCTAGATTAAAATAGTAGAGATTCATACAGCAGACGTTCCCCAATATCAGGATGGAGTTTCCTTCAGGAAACCACTTATGCGTAGGGCAACTCTTTAGTGGAAACCTTAACGTAGCAGAAATGTTTATAACAGGAACTAAGAAGAATCCGATTCCAGTTCATAATACTGGGGAAATTTAGTACAGAGCATATTATTATTTAAATCAGACAAAGTGCCCAGCACTTACGAAACATGATATTATGTTTGTAAATAATTAAGCTAAAACATTTCTTTATAAATTTTATTTTTATACTTCAGATGAACTCAGATATACAATTAACTGTCTTCAAACAGTGAATACTAAAGACAACTATTGTTTTTACCACTCATCTTCAAGTTCCTGTCGCAGATCAACATATGCAAATCCTCACGCTTCAAATTAGGCATCCAAAGAGACAATTTGCTCTTGAATAATTACCTGTTTATTAACAGATTCTGATGCTTAACAAGGATGAACATTAGATCATCTTGCTTAGACAGCTAGATTTGGATTTAGGTGCCTAAATGTAAGCACTCAGGCTTGAAGGCTTTGGCCATCGTCTCTGAATCAATACTGCTCTGCTTTCAGAAGTCATTAGTTTTTGTTCTCAAGCCATTTAAATCAATGCATATTTCAGGAATGCTACCATAGTATAAAGGCATACGAAGATCTGCATAAGGGTTCCACATACACTATAAACAGCATGGAAGACACATGCACAAATGGTGCCATGTCAGAGACGCACAGAAAAAACACTGATAAAAGCAAGTTCTTTTAAAATACTTAGCCCTGACAAAATTAAAATGCTTCATAATATTGCACTGATATCACATTTCAATACTTCAATGCAAAGTCTGATTTCTACTCCTTAATTTTTCATTTTAAAAAAATTACAATATGCTTAAAAAAATGAAATGTTTCAATGTCAATGCTCTCCAAACAAAAAGCTTTGATCCGTGTAAAAGGTTCTTCTCCCTTCCAAACTATGATTTTACCTCTAGTAATTTAAAATCTGAGGGCTTTCTTGCACTTTGAAATTTTGAAGCCCTTTGTTAAAGGGAATGCCTATCCTGTGCAGTTGTAATACTTTTCTATCTGAAAACTATATGCCTCTGTTGACAAAAAATAGCATTTTTCTCAACTATTTACGGTTTCCTTTATGAAAAATAATGAAGCAGATGATATTGCATCCACATCTGACATAGAATATAAAGATAAATAGCATGGAGCAGTCCAATGGCAAGCTCATCAAAAGAGAAATAAGAGAACTCGGTACTGTTGTGATGGTTTGTGCAAAATTAAGTAATGACATGCAAATTCTGTCACACAGCCCCTCTCTAGACCACTCGATCAAAGACAAAGGATACCGCTGATCTGGGGGGTTGGTCTCGACTGCAACTTTTAGTAATGCCAATGTAGATTTTTCAGCTCCAAATTCAATATAGGAAAATCAAAACTTCGGTGCAAAGACCAAACAATGTCTCACAAAGTTTCAGAAATTTAGTAACACAAGCGGGGGTCTTGGAAGATGTAACAAGACTGGAGACTCACTGGGGAGCTGATTTCTAATACAAACTGCCTTTTTACCGACCACAGTCATGAGCTGCTGATAATTGGACCCGTACTTTCCGTAATGTGCCCTAGTTGACATTTCAATTACCCTAAAGAGGAAGCAGGAAGCTAGCACTCGCAGTAGCCAGTTCTCCCTAAATGCTCTATTACGCCAAAATTTTTTCACTGCAATGATACATTCCACCCCACATATACCCTTAAAAGAAAAAAAAAAGATAACGGCTGATACTTGCCTGTAATGATGCCATTTTTTTCTACAGGTTCTTGCCAGCTGACCTTGAGAGACGTGTCCAGAATTTCAGTAAAGCTCAGGTGTCCCACAGCTCCCGGCTCTGGCAATCAGAAAAGGAAATCTGTTAACAGGAGAACCCCACTTACTTTTGATCTGATTCACGTGGCAAGGTTAGGGCTGAAGAAATAAAACACTGAGCCAAGGCCAGCGGAAGCCTGCTGGAAACATCAGTAAGAGCTGCAGGGGGGAGGAAAGAATGCAAGGTGTTAAGAAGTACTCTGGCTATCATCACGTAAATTATTTTATCCAGTCATCATCCTAACTGTGCTGAGAACTAAAAAGAGATGCAGCGGGAGACTTGCACACAACTTGTTCTCTGTCTCTCTTCTTGATCTAATCTAATTAGAACAATCAGGCTGGCTGAATCCTGGAAGTGGCTGCTTGTGTTGTTTTCCCTCAACTACATCATGCTGCCTTTACCTGGGCTGCTGCAGAGGCTCTCATTTTTCAGGCCCCGGGTCTGCGATGCCACTAGCTGAACACTCATCTGCAAAGAGCCTTTTGCCTCTGCAAGGTCAGTGCAAGGTCGGAGTTACTGAGCCAGTGCTTAGGCAAACTCTTTCAAAACATCTCTAAAAATGTCCAACATAATGGCAACTATCTTCTGTAAAATGAATACAAGTGTGTGAAACTTTTAAAGGATTTTTATGATGTAGCTCAAGAGCTCTTAAAAACTTCAGCTCCCTAGTGTGCAATGAAAGAGTATAAAACGGAATGACTGTCAAGAATATGCCATTCTCCTTCAATTTTTATCTTCAAGGAAGACATCCTGACTGATTTTTGATCCAACTGCTGTTCTGTCTACAGTCGATGTACTGGAAAAAGGAGTTTTTGTTCACTTTATATTCACTGTGCTTCTGTCATTGGATCCCTGCCTGAGTATCCTCCAGCTCCACTGACATCAGTTGGCAATTTCTCGGCTGCAATTGCATATTTTGTTTCCTCTGCACTTTAGTCCAGTTTCCCATTCCCCTCCAGCTATGATTTAAAAAAAAAAAAAGGCCTGCCAGTAGGTTGACTGCGACCACATTTGCAATTCTGCAATCGTAGTGAGGAAAACTTCCAAATGCAGTCTGCGATATCTACTCGTCAAAGAACTATGGAAAGAACTGTTGATCTGGTAGCAAGCTCAGGAACAGCTAACAGGAGCACAGCAATTATATGCTACGCAGGAGTACGTTATCTGCAGACACGCTAACCTCACACCCTCAAAGCTCTACTCCAGTTAGGTCCTGCACTTGCAGACCAATTTTAACGTCATAATGAAAAACAAGTGCAGGTTACACCAAGCCAGGACACATCGCTTCTGACCGGATGTCAGATTATATTTGACTTACAGTTCTTCAGTAAACAGACTAGTTTGCACCAATTTTTGTTTTAAAGAAACACCTGGCTTTCCTATAAAGACAGGCAGAAAATTACCACCTGAGAACATGAATGACAGTCCTTTCAGATCTTTTTTTCCCACCACCTAAATCCTGAAGCCACTTAGAGTCACTGAGTTCTCTGCAAAGATGCATTATACCATACCACACTTATCTTAATGAATATCTTCCTAGTCATCAAAAAATCAAAGGAAAGTAATTCTGTGAGATCTAAATTAAAAAAAATACCTGCCCATCTCTGCTAGCGAACCTCCTTGCAGCATATAGCTAGATATTCTCACCTAGAAATACATTTAAACAAATAGAAGTTTGTCTTTCTATGTTTTTATGTTTCATGATGGAATTTTACCCCCTAGCTTCCACAAGGTCTCTAATATAAAAGGCTCCCTTCTGCAGCCTGTCCCTCAGCAGAAATACTAACTCTTTCCTCTACCCCGCTGACTAATCTTCACTAAACCTGAGTGGTCTTGTATCTTCAAAATCTCACTCTTTGGGAAATTTCATTGAAATTAGTCACTGGGTTCAGATGTTGTTGGAGGGAGGGAGAACGACAGATCGACATCAATGGCCTGATCTGCAGAAATACTGAACTTCAGCACTGTCCTCAACCTCCACAGGACGTTCTCATGCTCAGTTCCTGAGAACATCAATTGATATTCATTTGGATGCCTAAAAATGGATTTAACAGCATAAGGGTTCATAACACAGCTTATTGTGTGTTAGCTGAACCAGACTATGGTGCTTTCAGCTTCTGATAAACATAAGAAAATTCATCTAGGCCTAGACCATAAAGGAAAAAAATATTAAGTGCCTCACACTTGCCACAGGCTAAAAGAACAACTGCAGACAACTGCCCAGAGTCATCTGATGCTAAGCTACTTGACAGGATAGGATAACCTGATTTTGAAACCAAGACCCTATTTTAAGTGCCCCAGTGTGAAAACTCTGGCCCTTATATGCAGCCAAGCAAACTCCCAGCAGGGAAGTTCCCTACCAGTGCTGACTACTCACTGTCTTCAAGGGTGCGCAGGAGTTGGGGTGTACTTCGTGGTCCATCGCCAGGTGTGGTGAAACACAGAACAGATGTATAGTAAGTAGTGAATTTCTTCAGGTTGGTGATGTAGCCGCTATGAACACCATGAAAATCTGGAGCAATAGTGACCACATTTACGGTCTCTGGTGCATCCACTGGCCATGCGAGAAGCTAGAAAATATAAACATTGATAACTCTCACTAGAAGTTGTGCCTGCCTGGAATCCAAGTACGCTTGACTGCCCAAATCATCTTAATCTGACTGAAAAAAACAAGCAATACTATTAAACTATTGTCAGCTCTGACCCTGAGCAGATGGGTGTAACGTTGCTACTATGTTAACTGGAGGGATGTGCACAATACTTGTGAGGGGGGGGATGGTACTGCAATTCCAAATGTCTGCTATTGAGCAATGCCAAAATTATTGCGAGCGGTTATTTGTATGACATGAATCTTTTGTTCCTCTCTGGGCTGTTCTGACCAGCCCAGACAATCTCTGGCTCTGAAAGGAGGATGAAGGAAGAAAGGAAATTCCAGTGCTACTCCGAGCGACATGCTTTGTCTTTCCTTGGTGCTCCCTGAAAGATCCCACTGCCTGGGGAGGGTAACGGGAGGAAAGAGAGAGGAAATCCTCCCTGACATCCTATTGCCTGACCTTGCCTAAAAGGCTAAGATTATTACAATGTCTGATTGGTTTATGGTATCCATATCGCGAATGATTCAAACAGTTCTGGAACTACTGGAAGAATAGAAAAATGTTGTAAAAATGATTACTACAATTTTCTACGCCAAGGTCCCAGAAGTTAGACTCCTGAAGACATTCTCATGGATTATAAGTAGCCTGCTTGTCAGATGAACTCAGTTCTTCCAGATTTTTTGCTGATCAATATTCTTTAAAGTAGAGGATCTTTTATGTAGGTACCTAGAGGAAGGTACCTAGATTTCTGGCAAATGACTTTCAAATTTTGAAACAATTTTTAAAATCATCTCAGTGGGTTAGGAATCCAAAGCTTTAAAGGGCTTATGAAATTTTTATTTTGTCTAAAAATCCTTATCTTGTGACTCATATAAGCACGTTAAAATTCTGGGCCTTACTCAGTATCTCTGTAAATCATGCTACTTTCATTGATTTCAGGTTCATAAACATGAATAGATGCCTAAAATTAATGAGCCTTATATAACACATTTAACCACTGTCTATAGTTTCTGGTAATCAGAAAGCACAGTTAGAGGACTAAAAGGAGTAATTTTGTTAGGAGTATTTCATATTTGAAAAGGTGCACTTTACAACTTCTTGAAATGCAAATAAATTTCAAAGAAAAGATAAAAATGGAATAATGGTTGATGGAATAGTAAGTCTTATTTTCTTTTCTAAATCACCTTTGTGGATTACAATTGTCATTTATAACTTCTAGGGACCGCACTTCTCCTTTTCTCCCGAATATTTCATTGTGTATACTTCAGAAAACATGCAGGAAATAAAGGTGAACAGTTCTGTCAGCCAAAGGACGTAAGGAGTTTAACCCTTTTGAAAAAGGAAAGACCTAATTTTGACCACTAATAATTTATAAATCTTATAAAGAAATACGCAGTAGAAGCAGTTGTGACAGAAATGTTCTCACATAGTCTTCATAATACAATTCAAAATCTCCATGAGGAAAAGGAATGGTAAAGCTCTCGCAGTCTAATGCAGTTAAAGAAATCTGAGTAAAGAGAAATTTTCATCATTTCAGGACAGTTTTCACTGACCACTGACAGCTATAAATCATGATTTTAGCTATTTTATACAATCGCTAAAGAAATTCAGACTTAAATTAGAAGTAGCTATGCAATGAAAGTAAGGATCTTTATACTGAAACACTGTGTTTGAATAAAACAAAGAGTAAAAATCTAAAATATGACTTTTGGAAATCTGACTGAGCTCACCCTATTTGGACTTTAACCAGAATAATACACTGAGTTTCAGCCCAGAGAGTCCCTAAAATGTTTTTATTCTCTAGAGTCTGAGCAGAACTTGGCATACACGCTTGCAGTTCAAATTCCCTATCAATCACCTTGTCCTGAGAGCTGGGTCTATCTCCGGAAAAAACAGACAGCTATACATCTGCATGTATATTTTACTTCGGCAGAGGGATTCTGAATCCACCACTGTTCTTTATATCTATCAGCATGAGAAACATACAGCTTGGACAAAAATATGAGAACACGCATGCGCTTCTCTGCCTCAGCTTCCTCATCACTTTGAGGAATTCTTAGATAAGGATCAAGTCGTCTGAAGCACCTAAAACCCACCTAAAATCCCACAACCCACAGCTTGCCTTCTGAACTACACCTTGTTTTCAGCTCAGCTAACATTCCCCCCTCCAATGGCTAACCCAAGCTTCCTCCTCTCTGCTGATAAAACATACTTGTCTTCCCCTTTGCTGCTCTGCAATTCCTACAAGATTTTTCTTTTTTCTATGAATGTTTTTAAGCTCGCCTTTTATCAAGTCCATACTGATGAACCATTGAAGGAATTTCTATTAAGCAATCCTCCCTGAGAGACAGAAATAAACCACTCCAGCTACCTTCTTAGCATACACTCCACCAGTCAAAGTACCAACAAGTGCTTTGTTAAGCACACTCTGCTCTGTGTACGGTAATAGATATTGCCAGTTGTCCCAACAGCAGGGACTGTTCCTGCTAACTCAATGTCATCGAGCATGATTAATAAATATTACATTCTTCTATCTCCCAAACGATCACAGTGGAAAACTTAAAACAAATATTTATTGTGACATCTTGGTTCCTAATGAAATGAATGGGAATTTTGCGTTAGAGTCAATAGATTTCTCAAGGTTGATTTTCAATAGCACAACATATCCCCTGTGCTGACTTTCCAAACTGTTTGACATCGAATTGCTTTCTGTGCTTTGGAAACTCTCCAAGTAAATGACAAAGGGATTAGGACTTGTAGCCCATGACATATTTCCTTCTCCTCTGTGAGAACTTACATAAATTGGCAAACATTATGTTAGGAGCAACAACTGCTCCGTTTTCTCTTCATTTTACTTATGTAATATACCCCTGATAACAAGCAGTCACATTGAAGACACACAGCTTATTAGACTCAAATTCATTTTGTTATATACCAAGACTGTATAAAGCAAATTTGATTTCAAGTTATAGAAAACTTGTTTCCATTTACCTTGTATCCTTGGTTAATACCATTGATGAACTGCTGGGGTGGAGGGCTCCAGAGGAACTGAATGGTTGTGGAGTTCACAGCTTCTACTTGCACGTTTTGCGGCGGAGCTGTAGGCACTGCTCCCAGGCAGCCAAGGGGAAATCAAAATAAAACAGAAGGAAGGAGGGATGAGGGGACAGAAGAGAAAGGCGAACACAGAACCTACTCACTGTCACTTATGAGGCACAAAGAAACATCAACTTTGAGAAAAGGACGCGTTTCTTGTGATATGGCAACCAGCAATGGTTCGGAAAGAAAGGTAATTGGGTTATTTCCCATTTTGCACTGAAGATTTGTCTAAGGAGAGGGGATGAAATGATTTCTGTAATTTATTATGCCACAGATGAGTTTCTCATATAGACATGAGACAGAAGCTAGGTACAGGTGGGCACATCTCTCTCAATTATCCATGACTGCACGGAGAATGAATGCTTTCACCACAAAATTTCTCGAGTCCTTTAATTCCCCAGAACAGACAAGTAAATATGAAGTTTGCACAATTAGAAACCTAACTGTGAATTATAATCTGCCAACAGCATCTGTTTACTATTTACTGCTGCTTAAAAAAATATGATCAGTCATATCTGACAGAGATTTTTCCTGGAAATTGAAGACATTCTCATTTTATCTTGATATGATACTCATCCCTGTATATTGGTTCAAAAAATACATTCTAAACCAATACATCCTCAAATCTACTAGAGGCTGCAAAAACATTTAGGTCAAGTATTTAATTAAACAGATATTTGTTTCAATGCAAAAGAAAACATGGAACATAGAGGTACAGTGGCTTCAAACAAAGAAATAACATCAAAGTATTTTGCCAGTTAAGATAATGTCTTTAAAATATCTTCCAGGCAGTTTCTTGAACTCATTGCTTTAGGATGTCACTTTTCTAGTTCACAGAGGAAGGAATACTAACAGTCAGGCCTATTTTTCTGAAACTGTAAAGTTTACAGTAAGCTTAATCAGAAAACTTTATTTGAGCATAAGGAAAGGCCTAATATCCTTTGAAACCTAGAAGTTTAATAAAGTTTCAGAAATATTACTGTTGGCAGCCATGTATATTTGTAGTCTATGAAAGAGGAATGAACCACAAGTCTTGCTGAAGCTTGACAAGCTTTACTGCTTCTTCTTCCAAGGGAAAATTTCTAGCAAACCCCAATGATCTGTGTTTCTAAAAAGTACCGCAGTTCCCACTGGGAAGTGGTGGTTTGCTACACGCTTTTCAAAAACACATCAGAAGCTTTTAAAGTTTCCAGTCTTGTGGAAGATGAGTCTTTCTATGGGGAAGAAATCAAGACACCATGGTCAAAATGTAAAAATGCCCCTTTGTCCACCAAAAGCTATGTTTCTTTGAAAGAGATGGAAAGAAGCATCATTCTTAGCTGTGTAGAAGCTACCGGGAGAGTGCAGCCAACAGTGTTAGGACAGTGTCCACCAGTCAAAGACACAAAGATACCAGGTTTGAAATGCCAACAACTTCCACTCTCATGCACTTTGTCACTGAAACTCCTCGATGACTACATGACTTGAAAATTTAGCTCTGCATACTTTTTTGCTCAGAAACTGCATGTTATTCAGAATTCTCTTGCCCTAATCTAAGACCCAATGTCACAATTTATGAACTGTACATAATTATTGAGTTCTAAAAACAGAATTTAGCTAATACTACTCTAAATTCTCGTTAGAATCTGGGCCCTATTTCCTGCCATATATTATAATTCCCTAAATGCTTTTGGAAGGTTACAATTTTATCTTAATGACCTATAGCCATCATAAAGTTTTTGTGGTTAAGAGATTCACCGAATCATCTTGATATACAGTCGTATATATTAATGTCATTATATAGTCATAATGAGCTGCTCTGGCTACATTCCCCCACTAAATATATTTTTTTCTTATTCATGTTCTTATTCATGTTCTGTTCGTCATGAGAGCCACAAGATGTACTTGAAGTTGCTTTGGTGTGCAATACTTTGTACAATTTATAGCTGACATGAGAAGACTTTGTATAATTAATATTTATACTTTCCTGCATATTTGGATATTCTCATATTGTATTTGCCAGAGATTTGCTATAGTTGGAGAAAATAGTATTAGAAGGCTTTCAGTTAGGTTTTTGTCAGAAAATCATCTGGCTATCATTGGTAGATTAATCTCCTTCTGTCATGAAGGGTAAATCAGCTTAGCATCATCCCCCTTCCTCTCATTCCTCTTCCTTCTGCTGTATTGCTACATTGCAACGATATTTATTGGTGCTACGTTGATTTTCTAACATGTAATAATAATATGGAAAATCTATACATAGGGCAGATGCTGCTGGACAACCACACCTAAAGAAATGTGTGACTTCAGCAGTGATGGGAAGTGTCTTGTTCATTCATCCAGGTGACCCATTACCTGAGAGTTAACAGTACAACGACTCTCAACAGGACATTCCTACTGCCTTCATCATTTCCCTAAAATACTAACATACACACTGCCGCCTTTATTTCTGAGGGCATTGTTTTCTTTAGTGGAGGATCCCATGGATGCTCTAAACACAATAGCAAATTTCCAGGGATTTCGATAAGGCAAGGATTTTCCCTATGAATCTGATAGGCCTTTTAGCTATGTGGACAGTATCCAGTTGAAAATACTGCAAATTTTTTAACAGAGGAAAAAAAAATCTGTATCAGCAAGCCCCAAGTCTGCATTTATAATCCTTACTGCACTACACCTCAAAAAAGCCCAGATAAGCATTTTAGGATAGGTTTACCAAAGTTTTAGAAAAGTCAGTAACCAAATGCATTATTCATTTCTTTAAAAATGTGAAATATTTTTCTTTCATTAGTAGGTAATTTCCTGAAACAAGCATAAATCATCATAGCACAAAAAGTACCTGCTACGAGAAGACAAATGATAAAAATCATGACCAGAAAACATAAACCCCTCAGAATGCTGGAAATCATGATTTATATTACAATTCATCTTTGGACATCTTTATTGCAAAATCAACATCTGCATCTCAACGAATGCATTTAAAAGATGGAAAGAACGCGGTCTGTCTAACATGCATAAGCTTAATTATACTGCAGAAGACATAGCATAATACATTTTTATATTTCTATCAGTAAAATACTGGCATTATAACCTCAACTTTACTTCAAAGTGCCAGTACAAAGCTCTCTTTTTTATGTTCTGATATTAAAGACTTCCTTGGGTATCTGAACAGTTCTGCATTAAAAAAAAGAAATTGGAGAGAAGCTAAATGCTATATTTACAGAGTTGACCTTCTGGTTTCTTCAAAACTCATACTTTTCCAAGAACATGTTTAGTAACTTGCTGAAGCTCCAGCTGGCCACATAAAGGGATTTCTAATTGGATGTACTATTTAGCAGTAGGTATCCATCCCTCTTTCTACAAGTTTCTTGCTGTCAAGCAGTACAGACGCTACTGATGTCAAAAAGGTGTTTTCAAAGTAATCCCTAAGTATTTACATGTTCATTTCTTAAATCTGCTCTTCATCATGTTTGTGAGTATTCCTGAAACATCTCACACTAGAGTCTCATTTCAAACTTTATGTCCCATCTGTCTCTCATTTCTGAATTGTAGATCAAATTGGTCAGGCAAAACCAACTGCTTGCTCCACTGTTCCTCCCTGTAACGCTCACCGGGCTGGAATCTGTCAGAGCTCGGCTCCCTGACCAGCAAGTTAATGCCCAACAGCCTGAGTAGGAAAGGTCATGCAAGCACTCTAGATAAAAGCCATTAAAAGGGTTTGGTCGACAAGATAATTGAGAGAAGAGAAGGTATTAAGGTTAAGCATGTGTACATGTAATTATTCTGTCTCTAGCTATGTGCAAATAGCATGTAAAACCTGCACAGATTCCGACAGCCAGACTACCGGTTTTAAATATAGCTCTTCAACAAAGGCTTGTCTCATCCTCTTCCCCAGCTCCTGACCTTTAAGATGCCAGTTTCCATGTCTCAATAAAGCAGGCACAGAAAACTGTAGGTTTTTCTCTATGTGAGGACTCAGTTGTGCCTTAAAATGCATTAGCTTGAGGAGCAAAGCTGCACAGCCCCGGTGGGAGCTACGGGAAGAGCTCTGCCTCAGAGGCACACTATTCTCAGTGTGAAGCATATTCCCCTACGCACCTGGCCGACATCCTCTGCTGTGTTTTGAACTGAAGCAGGTGCACAGAAAAAGTGGTCTCCTCAATTCTACATATGCCAATATTTGAAATTCAGAAGTGCCATTTGGCAGTAACTGACGAGTTTGCTTCCTGCAGCTGGGAAGAGCCTTTTTTCGTTCTCATGTGCCTCTCACAAGGACAAGACGTTACCTCTTTAGGAAGCAGGATTTTGCAGCTTTCCCTGAATTTTGAGGTCAGTAAGAGCCTGGGGCCAGGGGCTTCAGTGAGACCACTGCCAAGGCCACCTTTGTGAAATCATGGAAAAAAAAAAAAAGAGAGAGAGAGAAAGAGAAAGAGAAAGAAGGAAAGAAGGAAAGAAAGAAAGAAGGAAAGAAAGAAAGAAAAGGCAGTAGATGGCAAATGACACCTAACAGTGATTGAACTAAGAGTTATAAAATCCAGACACTACAACTGCAGCCTGCTTTAGCAGCAAGAGCAGCTGGCCAGGGATGCTTCACTGCTGTAGGTTAAATTCCCCATAGGCAGTGAATAAGGATCTTTAAGTTGCTTTTGGCAAGTAAGTCTGAAGGAAAACTAAGGGAAATTTTGTGTTTCATCTAGATGAAATTGAATGCCTGTAGAGGACGTTGATTATTTAAAGATTTCTTCCTCAAAATTATTTTCTGCTTACAGCAAGACGTTTTCAATTAACAGGGACAGGTAACAATTTTTTCCAGTTCTTTAGTCTCACATCTTATGAAGCTCTCTGCTTCACTTCCTACTGCCTGAACACCTTTGGACCTGGCTGAACAGACTCACCTTGCTTTTATTCTTCTCTCCATACCATCAAGACTCCCTAGTCTGGTGAATCTTTTGATCAAATTTTCCTAGCTTTTTAGCGTGTTCATCCACAGCATAATAGGGAAAATAAAATGTTAATAAACTACATGTTGAGGCCTACGAACTTCAAGATTTATGACTGGTTTTCGGGACTCTCCTGCTATCCGTCAAAAGAAAGACACAGCACCCTAAGTAGACGCAAAAGTAGGCTAATGCCAATGCAAGGAAGCTAATGAACGTTTTATCTCTGCTTGAAAACCTTGCTTTGCCTAAATCTAAGGAGTGGTAGGAGTTTTTCAAAGAGAGAGAAGCTCAAAATTATTCATACTAGTGAGACAGAAGGGACAGACTCAAGCCAAAGGATGGGAGATTCTTCTCTCCCAAATCAACCTGCAGGAAAAGATAAATTTGTCCAACAGTACAGAGCAAAAGACAACATCATTACCATCCAGAAACAAGTTTATATGTCTCACAGAGCTACTCTTGTACGAAAAGGTATTGGAAAGCTTCAGTTTTTCATATGGCAATGTAAAGTCATGTAGGACACTGTTCAAACAGGTAAAAACTCTCTATGCAGGAGGCTGGCACAAATCCCTGTAAAAAGTAACATCAAAGTAAGGAACAGCTGGAGAAGCTCTGATGAAAAAAGATCTATATATACAGAGCATCAAAGCATTATGCTGAATATCACTCTGAAAAGACTCTGAAGATTCAGAGACAGTTAAACTGTCTGACCTTAGTAGTAGGATGTTCAGTGCTTTGCCAGGAAGTCTCCCTGACATTGTATCTAACTGACATTATGTGCCAGTTTCTCTACAAGGTTACATCTTCCAGCATCTTGCAAGCTTGGCTACGTGCTAGAAATTGGTGTTTTTCAAAGAGCTTTGAGTAGTTTATTAGTTATTAGTGAGCTAAAGCAACATCAGAGCACTAAAAAAGGATTAATGAAGTGGGTTCTGGTATAAATCCACAGTTTACATAGCCAGTCAATATTCACCATGACAAAGATGCCAATGTGTTGATCTGCTCCTGCCAGTGGGTTGATCTGCTCCCAGTGTTCATTTCCTGCCAGGCTTTGACTGCAGAGCATACTTGATTAATATGAGGTATTTCAGGTATTTTTCATCTGCAGATAGACAGGCTCTTGCCAGCATAGCTCAAATCATTTAATGTATGTCAAAACAGAGGTGGTGGAGGTGGGAGTAGGGGAAGGGAATGGACGGGAGTGTGCGTCTTTGACATTTATCCCAGATCATTTTAAAATCAGAATACGATTTACAAGGCCGTTTTACAGATGGCTATTTTGTACTCCTGTTGGTTTGGTTTAGGAAGGACATTCCACAGCAAGAAACTGCCACTGGCTTTTCCAGTCATTTCCCAACCACAAGAAAGATAAAGGAGCAAGGCTTAGGACAGGCGCGCATTACATATGGAGACTTGATATTAATCTAGTTTCAGATTATACTGACATGAACCAGACTCCCTTCTTTTCAACTCTGAATGTAAAAAGGCTTCAAACTCTTTCGAAACAGACTGTATGCCCTAGGTGATTTGCACAGAACCCCAGCAAGGCATTCATTAGGAGGTGACAGCATCCACTAAGTAATTATTTACTACTATTATTAAACACTAATTTAAAATAAATAAGTAGTTTTTCATTTATGTCTAACCACCATCAAACAGTTTAGGATTATATAAAGATGAACAGGTCTTTGCAGATTGTCCTGCATTCTAAACATTCTCGCTTGTTAATATGAATGCAGGATTGACTTGCACTTAATTTGTAACAGAGGATTTATACCCTTATAAATGACAACAGACAGCCAATCAATAAAGGATGATATTAACAGCACATAATACCAAGGGAAATTAGAATCAATTGCAGGGTTAAAGAAAAGGAGTGTGAAGTCAGAGCCTGAGTCTTAATAGAGGGAAGGTTAAGGTACCATGATAGCTTAAAATGTCCAAATAAACAGTGTAGTGAAATTAGTGAATTATGAGCATATGCACAAAAGAGATTCAAATTCTGTGCGCAAACTAATTCTTAGCGGAGATCTGGTCTTTTGCGGGATACAAAACATTAACCCTTACTGCAAGGAAGAGACTACAAGTAAAACATTTTGAGGTCTGTTGTAAATACTTCTGGAAAGGGGCAGAGTGTGCCTAGCCTTCTCTAAACTGTGAGGCTTTAGATGTCCTAAGACAGAATATGCACAGCTTCCTTCTTTAATTGTTGTCGTTAATTAGTGCTGCATGTGAATAATCTTATTTTAAAGATCTCCTCACAACTCAAACTGTATCTAATCACATTACAATGTACTCCTAGAACAATTAACAAACAAGTACATATTCTTCACTGGTTATAAATTAACTGATGTACTATAAAACTGTAAGTTTTTAAAATAGTTTGTTTTATGACCAGTAAAGTGGAGATCATGTACTGTCCGGCACTTAGAATTCAGCACAATCCCGTAATTATGGGAATATATGAAAACTCTAAGAGCCTGGTAGTTAATTATCCTAAGGATTTTTATAACAATCTAGAGGCGTAAACATGCCTTACACTGGTTATAAAATGTAATTACATATCCTTTTGTTGAGGTAATTTATACTCTTCTTAAAGCACTTACCAGAAAGGTATGGAGGAGTCATAGCATGAAAATCAGGGCTTTAAAGATCATTTTATCTTCCTCTTGGAAAAGTCTATATCATTC